GATCTCTTGTTATCCATCCTCAGGCAGGAGATGCTCCATGCTGGGGGATTTGGGATTGTGTTAATCCAGCATCCGGAGCCCTCCAAGGACCTTGATCTGTTGATCTCACCAATGGGTGGAGAAGAACGTGATGCAGGGGGACCCCTGGGAACAGCTTGGCAAACCAGCTCTTCCCAAGGACCAGGGTCTCGCGGGAAGCTGACGCCAGACAGACCCAAAGGAGAAACCCCTTTGGGGAGCATCTGGGTCCCAATAAATCCCCGTTGCTGTGAACAGACCTTTTTTTTTTTCTTCCCTGAATATCCGCTCCTGTCCATGTTCTCCCGCAGAGTCAAGCAGCAGCTCCGTGCAAAGGCAACGAGCTATTTCAGATGATATTTCTGCATTTTAAAGAGGAAACACGGCTCTGACCTCCTCGTTAACACCCATCAGTGTGATTTCCCACGGCAAGTTAAGGGAGCAAAGCGGCGCTTAACGTGCTCCCGCGCTCTGCAGTCCTGGGTGCCAAAGTGCTCGCAGACGGCTCCGGTCTTTGCAAACCCTCTAGCCAAGCTGGAAAATGCCTTCCCGTCCGTTTCCACATGCAGGCCAGGCCTGGGATAGGAAAGAAAATGATTCATCTTCTACTCCAACGTAAATCCAGCGAGAGAGCCTGCTTGCGGGAAGCTGAGAGCGGGCAGGGAGAGCACCAGCCTTCAGCATCCCGCTGGATGAGCAGTAGGAGCTGCCTCGCCTCCGTCTGCCGGGACAGCAGGTCTCTCGCCAGGCTGGGAACCAAACATCCCTTAAAGTACAACTATTAGTGTGCTTTTACTTCCTTAATATACATATTTCATCTCTGCGGGAGCTTGCTGCCGGGCCGCCAGCCTCCCTGCTCCCTTGCCCGGCGTGCAGGGACACAGGGAGGAACACGAGCTCAAGCGCACAGGGGTTTGCTTTGATTCTGAGCGATGATGGCTGGTGCTGGTGACCCCGTGGTGGGGTCCCGCTGCCCGCTCACCCCGTGCTGGGCACGGTGGGCACCCAGGCCCGGCCCCTGCCCTCCGTCCCCGCACACCTCCCGGCGAGGCGGCGGAGCCGTGCATTAATCATTCCCACCGCACGTTGAGCCATCTGGATGGTATTGGCCCTTCTGCCACACCACGGAGGATTGTTAACACAAAGCATATGCTTTGTTTGAAATTAATAATAATTTAAGGCTCTCACCAGCTGCTGGTAATTGGCTCCCCTTTCGCAGAGATAACTGAGAGCAGCAGGGTGGAAATTCAGCCGCTTCCTGGCTCCTTTTCTAATGAGATGAGTCCCCGGGAAAGGCGGCTGTTCTGCAGGGGACAGCGTGACACCGGCCGGGTAATGGCTTTTAATAACCAGCTACACGTGCCCTGTGCCACGGTGATGGTAACGCACAAGCACCGGGGCTGCTCGGGGACCCCCGGGGTCCCCTCAGCAAACCGCAGAGGGAGCTGACCCTTTCTGGGCACCGACCCGGCTGGGGAAGGGCAGGTTTTAGCAGCCTCGTTTGCCTCTTAATTGTTGCCATCAGCAACAGATTAGCGTGGAAGGTGTATTTTTACATTTTCTTGCTTAAGCATCAGTCTGGGCAGGTGGGTGTTGGGAGGCTGGTGGATATATTTATATTGCAGTCCTGACAAAATCTGCGTGCGGAGGAGCTCTGTAAAACATACAGAGCATTATTTTTGTTCAAACAGTGCGTATTAAGGCAAAGGGAATGTACTAAACACATCCGCTGCACCAGAGACATACGGGAGCTGAGGGCTTTTAAAAATCTCCGGATTCAGTCTAGGCTTTTAAATGCAACCTGCCCTGTGATGGCTCTGTGGCTGCAGGGGGGTGAGCAAGCAGAGCCGCAGCAGCAACCGGCAGGACTCTGAAATTAGGGCTCTGGCCATATCCCCCCCCTTCGCTGACATTAGGGTCCAGCTGATACCTTTAATGGGATTCCTGTAATAAAAGTGTAGGAGTAGTATGCGATATCCAGAGCGGTAAAATGTTCTCCCGGGCTCCACGCGGCGCTGCTGTAATACAGCTGATTGGAGTTTTAGCTTTGGTCACATACTCAGCACTGAAAAATGACGTGGAAGGATTTGGGGGCTCACGCTGGGGTGTGAGACCCCTTCCCCCTGCTCCCACTGCCCTCCACAGCCCAACGAGACCTCCAGCACTGCGGAGATCGCCCTCCCGTAAGAACAGTGACCCCCTGGACCAAAACCAGCAGCAAATTGCCTTTCCAGAAGGCAATTGCCTTTCCACACCCTTGGCTACCAGCCCTCCTCATCTCCTCCAGGACCAAGCAGCAAATTTGGCTGCTCCTTTGATCCAGGCTTCGCGTGCACTCTCTTCCCAGAGCATCAAGCCTCTCCAATCTCATGGAGCATCACGCTGGCCTCAGCGCATCCCGGTCGGAGAGGCCAGCCGTGCCATCCAGCACCCCTCCATCCCGCAGAAGGATGCTCCCCAAACCAGCCCAGCATCCCTCAGTGCCCTGTCCTGGGGCGTTTTGGTGCCAGGAGGATTGCTGATGCTGTGATGTGCCCCTTGCAGCTATATATTTTTTTTTTTTCTTCTTTTCTTCCCACAGCAGCCATCATTATAAATATTGCCAGATGGCTGGGAAGGAAAAGGAGGACAAGCGACTCCCGGGCACCAGCCTGGGAATTTGCACCCAGAGCTAGCAGGGGGCCAGCAATGCTCCTGGCTGCAAGGGGGTGCGGGCTGGCCGAGGTCCCCGGGATCGATGCGGGTGGGTCTGCAGGGGCCAAGCACATCACCCCGCAGCTGAGCCGTGGCCAGCAGAGGCCACGGGATCAATGCAGAGTGAAGGAAATACGGCTGCGGACACACGGCTTTTACAGCTTCCTTCCCCAAGAAAGGCTGGGCTTTATGGACTTCTGGTAATTGCCAATTAATTTTGCTGAAGCCAAGGGCAGGAAGGCAGCCCAGGTCTTTAAGGGCACCCATGCAGGGGTGGGAAAATGGGAAAACAGCCTCCTTCTTCCCACCTATTTTCCTGTACAGTCCTCAGCAGAGTCTGGACTGATGCAATCCCGGCAAAATCCCAGCAACGACTAGTCCCACACTTCTCGAGTGAAAAAAGAAAGAAAAAGCAGGCTGGATGGAGTTAGGAGTTGGCCACAGCTCCAACCCGTGGCCACAGTCACCACATCCCTGCTCCTTGTCCTGCACCTTGTCGTCAGCTTCATTAATTCCCCATCCCGAGAAGGCAACCGGGAGCCCCGCAGCTCCAGAAACAAGACAGACGAAGAAAATCCAGACCCTCCCAATTAAGTAATTTTTCTGAATGAAGGGCCTTGCTCCGCCCTGCGCAGGGAACGTGATTGACATAAATCCCGGGGCTGATTAGGGACTTGTCATTTAGCACCTATAATGCCTCTCTCCTAATAGTATTAGGGGCCTCCTTGTCGAGACACTAATGCAGTTTGCAGCTGCACCGTGGCGCCTGGGATTCGGCCGCCGAGCGGCGAGCGCACGGCGAAATGAGTACATCTCTAATCCGAGGAGACAGTAATGAAACCAGGAGCTGCCTTGACAAGCTGCACAGAGGAGGGGGGAAAAATTCTCCCGCTACGCCCCGGCTCCGGGAGCATCATCTCCTGGCCATGGGCAGCATCCCCACTCCGGTCACTTGATGAGCTCGCTCCTTCTTGGTTTCTCCATCCTCTCCATCCCGGAGATGCCTGTACCCCTCTTTCCTCGCTCTGCCCCTCCAAATCTTGCCAGCCCAGCCTTCCCCTGGGATGCTCCCTGCTTTCTCTGCAGGGGCTGCATCCCAGATCCGAGCCCCTCGCCGCGGGGTGCAGCTCTGCCTCGGCTCCTGGAGGGAAGCAGGGGAGAGGGGTAGGGGCGTTTGCTGGAGGTAGCGACCCTTAAAGCTCTGAACAAATCTCTGTTTTGATTAGCTGTGTTCCTAAATGATTTATAATCAGCATAATACAATAATGACAATAACTCCCTAATCAGATTAAAGAGCTCTCCATTTGTCTGGGGCTTTGCGCTGTAATCTCTTCCCCCCTTCTCTGGCATCGATTTTGTTTTCCAAAGCTTTTCCTGCCTTTCCATCCTCCTTACCTGGACTTGATATTCCAGGACAGGTCCCCTTTTCCACCCTAAAGCCCCGTCCACGCAGACAGGGCAGGCAGGGGATGCTGCAAGGAATTTATTCCAGCAGCAAAACCCCCGATGCTTCGCCCGGCCCGTGCTGCTGTCGCTGTGAAATTTGATTAGTGCCATTCACAGCGACTCCCTCCTTAGCCTGCCTGGCCCAGTACAAATCTCATTAGACCCGTAGGATCTTTAAGTGAAGTCCGGAAGGTGTTTCCATTTCTTCGGTTAATGAAGAAAAATAGTGGTGGAGGCAGCTGGAAGGAGCAGGAATTGCAGCGGCGAGCCGGGCTGGAGGGCGGTGGGGAGAGAGGACTGTGTTAACACCGATTAATAATAAATAACCACCATAATGAGCACTAATTAATAATAACACACGCTTAAGCAATTGATTCCTAGTGAATGGCACTGTGCTGTCAGGAGTCCCCATCGCTCCAGCTCACCAAGCCAGCGGTGCTGTGGGATGCTCCTGGCCATTCCCAGTTTGCCCGGGCTCCGGAGCTGGGAACCTTGCTCCGTGCTCTTTCTTGGTCTGATGTTCCCTCACTGGAAAAACCTGCTAGAGATTTGATTTTTCTCTCTTTTTTTTTTTTTTTTTTTTTTTTTTTTTTCTTTTTTGACCAATTTTAGGTGTTTCTACCCAGGGAGCATCCCTGTGCCCTGCGTGATCCCGGCCAGGGCAGGCTGCCTTCACGGGGGGGGGGGGGTGCAGCTGCTGGGGACCTGTTTGTTTCCCGGCCCCTTCAATTCAGCGTGTGATAGATAGATTGACTGATATGGAGCTTTAATCAGTGTAATCTCTAAAGCACTTAATTTGCCTTATTAAAAGTCTGCACTTTGGATTTTCAGGATCCAGGAAATTAACTCAAGCACCTAAGCATTTATTTGATTGAAAGAGATTATAAATAATTCATGCTTTTTCTTTGCCTTTGGTGGAAGACCTGCTGGGGTGGTGGGGGGCCAGCAGCGGCTCCCAGGGTCCCTCCGTCGCAGTGATGGAGCTGGTGTGCACCGGGGATGGCCTGGGCAGGGTGATGGGCACCAACGGAGACCAGTCTGTGCTGGGGGACCATCAGCCGATGGGGGATTGGGGCCGGTGCCTCTCACCATGCCCGGCTGAGGGGCTGGATGTCCCCTAACAAGGGCTGTGCAGGGCTGGAGGTGGCCGGGAGGAGGAAGAGGAGGAGGAGGAGGAGGAGAGGGCTGACCCAGAGCAAGTCAGGCTGTGCCAGGCCGTGTACTGGTCTCACTGTACTGGGAGAAGAGGATCCAGCCACTAAAATCACCATGACAATAAAGCTGAGTATTTCATCTATAATTCAGAGGAGCTAGAGAGTGGTTTTATTAAAAAAAAAAAAAAAAAAAAGAATTAAAAATAAAAACGTGGCTGAGACTGTAGAAATTTATGCCACTGTCCTTGCTGAGCGAGGATGTGGTGTGACCTTCGGCCAGGCACGGTGCCCGGCCACGGCCACGGCCCCCCGGGTGCCTGGGCAGGGGCTGGGGGGGGGGGGGGGGGGTGAAGAGAGGTGCAGGAGGGGTGTGTTTGCTGCATGAGCTGTGCTGCGAGGGGTGGGCTGTGCGTCCCTGGGGGTGCGCATCGTCCGGCTGTATTCATGGTAGGGGGTGCACATCCCTGGGGGTGTGCATCAGCCAGCTGTGTTCGTGCAATGGGCTGTGCATCCCTGGGGGTGTGCCGGGGGGGGGGGGGGCCGCAGCACGCAGAGCAGGGGGTCCTGAGCTTCTCCTGGGTGAGAGGGGCTGGGGGTTTGGGGTCCGGTCCGGAGGAGCGGGGTGCACGGCGCTGGCCCCGAAGCCGCGGGGTGCAAGTGGAGAGGCTGCGGGGGGGTGTGGGGGTGTGTGTGTTTGTGGGGGTGTCCCCCTGCCCTGCCCGTACGGCGGGCGGACAGTGCCCTCCAGCGGGCACATCCCGGCTGTCGGTCTCGCAGCTGGCCAGATGTGCTCCACAAAGCTGGCCAGATGTGCCCCGCCGCTCCGGGAAGGGGAGAGGGGTGGGGGATGCTCAGCCATGGGTGCGCTGAGCTGCGGGGGGTCTCAGCTCTGCCGGGCTGGGGAGTAGCGGGGAGCTGCGGGATGGGAAGGTTGGGGGGGGGGGGGGGGGGGGGGAGGTCCTCTCCTCCTCTCCTTCCCCATCGTGCTCACTGCAGGTTCCTCCTCTTTGCGAACTTGAGGGCCACATTGTCATACTCGGTGTCCCCCAGCCACTCCTTGCCCTGCAGCAGGAAGGGCTGCCGGAGAGGGACGGGTCTCTTGGGGACCGCATAGTCATCCCGCTGCGGGTTGTAGGGGTACTCGTGCCCGGAGGGGTCCTCCGGGGCCGCCTGCAGCCTCCACGCCTCCCCCTTCACCTCCTCGGGCTCGTCGTAGACAGTGTGGGTGGACAGACCCTCGGGCTCGTCGTAGATGTGGTCGGGCTTGGTGGCGGCAGGGGGCGGCGGGGACTGCTTGCCCACTTGCCCCCCTACCTCCTTGATGCTGTCGTAGAAGGGGTCGGGGACCTCCTTGGGGCAATGGGCCAGGTTGCTGAACTTGCGAGCCACGAAGGTCTTGGCGATGGTGTCGAAGGGGATGGCGTACTCGGAGTCGGTGGCCGCTTTGGCCGGAGCATTCTGCCTCCGGCCCTTCTCCGTCACGGGGGGGTTCCCCCAGCGAAGGGAGTTGCAGGGCTCGGTATAGGGGCATTCGGCACCGTGGGAGGGCAGGAAGGCACCCAACGGCTCCCCAGTGCCGGGGCTGCTGCTGGGGGGCATCACCAGCTTAGCTTTCGGCACCTTCCCCTCCCAGGTGGGCTCCAGCGAGGGGCCCTTGGTGCCACCGGGCTCCTCCTGCCCCTGCGCCCAGCTGGGCATCTTGGCATGGCCGAGTGGCCGGGAGACATCGTCCCCGGGGCCACCTCGTCGCGGCTCCTCGGCCCCCACGGCCACGATGCAGGTTGATGGCCGACTCGATCACCTGGAAGATCTCGTTGCCTTGCCTGGTCTCAAACTCAAAGTTGCCTTCTCCGGATGCGCAGCGCCGGCCAGCCTCAAAGGAGAAGGTCACCTGGGGAGGGACAGGATCAGGTCCCCATGCTGCAGCCCACCACCAGCCCACCCCTCCTGGACCCCCCCCCCCCTCACCTTGTCACGCCCGAAGCGCCGCAGGAAGCGGTAAGGCCAGCTGTAGAGGATCTCCAAGGACTGGAAATCCCGCAGCTCCAGCGCCTCCTCTCCAGCTCGCAGGATGCACCGGCCCCAGAGCCGGCAGCGCTCGGAGGACTCGGTGGCCCTCACCGTCACCTCGAACGTCTGCTCCAAGCCGGCTGGGGATGGAGAAGAGCGACATTTAACACCTGCAAGGAGCAGAGCTCCTCGCTGCAAGGGCAGAGCTGCGCCTCCCACCCCAGAGAGGTGCCGTGGGGCTCGTGACCCCCCTGCAGCTGGGGCAGGGGGGAAGCGGCGTCCGGCCGATAAGGGCTTGAGGGCTCCGGCCGCACAGGAGCAGCCCGATAACGCAGCAAAACTCAGCCCTGCCAAACCACAGAGCAGGAAGAGGCTATTTCAGGAGACTTTCCACCACGCCACCCACACGTAGCTGCCGTGGGGACGGCTCCCTGGCGCGAAAACAGCCGAGATGCCTCAGGAAGGGGGAGTGATGAGATGCTGCGGGACATGCGCAGGCTCTTGCGCAAGCAAACCCAGCTCCATTGCATCTTCCCCACCGCCCCCCCCACCACCACCACCACCCGGTGCCTACCTTTGTCCCGGGAGCTGTAGAGGGAGTTTTCCTCCATGGAGAACTCACCGTCAGTGCCCAGTGAGTTCTGCCGGCCATCCTTGCCTGCAGCCTGCTCCTCCCTCCTCCTCTGCCCGGGAAAGAGCAGCGGGTGAGCAGGGGCAGAGCACAGCATCCCCCCCCATCCCACCCCATCGCAGCAAACCCCCGGGATTCCCCTTGCGCAGACCCTGCTGTACCCCCCACCTCGGTTACCCCTGACCAGTACGTACCGGGAAGGCCAGCTCACACAGCTTCTGGATCCAGTCGGCCACCTCGGTGCCGTCAGCGGCCAGGAGGTACCGCTTGTCGGTGGTCTCCAGCAGGAAGGGGACGGTGTCCTTGGGGCAGCCGGCATCGCCACTCGCCTCCGCTACGTGCACGCAGTCGCTCAGCTTGACCAGCCGCTTGCTGCCTTCGCCTTTCCGCAGCTTCTCGGCGGCCGGCGGCGCCGAGCCCTCGAAAAGCTCCAGGCGGGCGGTGGAGCAGGAGCTTTCCCGGTACAAGACACCCCAGAACTTCCTCCATTTCTGCCAGGGGGAGAAGCATCGGGAGGAGTGAAAGCCCAGCACGGGCCAGCTCCGCTTTCACCCTTCCAGTTTTCATTCCCTTGGGATCATGCTCAAATCCGGGGCAGGACATGGGTGCAAACCCCTCTAGGATCCAGGCAGGGTCTCGCACCCTTCCCGTGTGGGCTGGCCGAAGCGGTGGGTGAGATAAACTGGGCAGCATGGGGAAAAGCATCCCTGACACACAACCAGCAGCCTGCAAGGCTTTCTAGCCGGGAAAGCCACCGGCAGCGGGATCCATCCCACACCTACCCCCCAACACCCTTGCTGACAACGTGCTGAAGGACTTTCAGCTCCTCGTTTGCTCCGTCTTCCCTGAAAACACCAACTTCCGAAGCGATTCCCGACTCGCCCTCCGAGGAGGCAGCAGTTCCCGGCGCGCCGCGCGTGGGAGGGGACAGCAGAGGGGAAGCGGCGGGAGGGGAAGTCTTGCACCCGAATCAGAGCATCCTCCCCGGCAGCTCCCTGCACCGGGGACCTGTGGGGCCTGGTGGGTTTTGCTGAAACGTGTAGCACCTTTTTTTTTTTTTTTTTTTTTTTTTTGCTGGGACGAGTTTCTGGGACCTGCGACGGGGGTGACCTGTGCCCCGTCCTCCACCACCATCGCAGGCAGCGTGGGGGCCTGCCGCCCTGCCTGTGCCATTTTGAGCCCCTGCAGTGGGTGGCCACGGGGCACGAGGGTGCTGCCTCCTTCCCCGGGGTGCGGAGCCCGGGCCCCCCGGGCGTCTCCTTCCCCTTCTTGCACAAGAGCAGGAGTCATTGCTAAACCCCCGCCATTACCAGCCGCCGGAGCCACGAGGCGTTGGGGGTGGCATCCATTCGGGCCGGGGCTCTGGCCCGTTTTGCACAGCCTTCCCCCCCGGAGCGAGGGGTTCAACAAGATTTTGGGGGGAGGGGGCTTCTCTTTGCAATGTGTCCCCAGCACCTTCCATCCCCTCGCCCATCCCCACCACCCCGATGTGCTGGTGGAGAGCCGAAGGATGGTTGGGGAGTCAACGGGTAGGAGCATCCCGTTCCCTTCGGATGCACCCCCCCCCCCACCCCCCCCCTGTACCCCCATATATCCCCATCTGCCCCCCGGCACCGAGCAGCCCCCCCCCCCCGCCACCTTCTCACCTTCCCGAAGGTCTGCTGCAGCTGGAGGTGAAGCACGCCCTGCTTCACCACCGCCTCCTCCATCCTCCAGCCACCAGCATCATCCTCCGCCACTGCTCCTCCGCCACCGTCCCCCCCGTTGTCCCCCAGCTCCCGGTTGAGGGGGGGGGGGGGGGGGGGGGGGGAGGGTCCCCGTCCCAGCCGCAGAGCTGCAGTCACACCGGATCGTGGCGTCTCAGCATGTGACGTGCGGTCTTTTCTGTTTCCTACGCTTCGGTTTCCTGCGTCTGTGAGCTTTACCATAAAGGGCAGAGCCCGCCGTACGCCCGGCCCGGCCTGCGGCGTGGCCAGGCACCAGGCAGCCCCCCCCCCTTGGCTGTGCCTCAGTTTCCCCATCTGTGAAATGGGTCTCCGAGGGCTGCCCTGTTGGGGTAATGACCCTCCTCACCCCCAGCTCTGCTCAGCTGATGGCTTCCAGGAATCCCAGCCTGACCCAGTGCTCCCAGTAAGGGTGACGCAGCCCCCAGCTATCCCAACCTGACCCAATGCTCCCAGTAAGGGTGGTGAGCGATGCAGCTGGGCAGGGGGTGAGGGGGCGAGCTGGGGAAGGCGACGGCATGGCACGGAGGAGGGGGGAAGAAGTTTGGGGCTGCAGGAAATGCCCTGGGTTCGGTTCCCAGGGCACGGGGGTGGCAGGGGCTGGGCTGGGGGAACTGGGAGCACTGGTGCAGGGGCTGGGGTAACTGGGGGCACTGGTGCACGGGCTGCTAGGCCACTGGTGCTAGGCTGGGGTAACTGGAGGCCACTGGGTGCAAGGAACCGGGTGCAGGGATGGGGTTGCAGGACATTAGGAACACCGGTGCTGGGTACTGGGGGCAGCGGGAGCACTGGGAGCACTGGAGCAGGGGCTGCTGGGGACACAGCTGCACAACACTGAGCACTGGTGCCAGGCCCTGGGTGCACTGGTGTGGGGAACTGGGGGCACCAGAAGCACGAGGAGCACTGGGTGCACTGGTGTGGGGAACTGGGGGCAGCAGAAGCACGAGGAGCAGTGGGTGCAGGGACTGCTGAGACACAAGGCTTGTCCCTAGCTGGGGTAACTGGGAGCACTGGTGCAGGAAACCAGGGACACAACTGCACAACATCGTGAGCACTGGTGCCAGGCGCTGGGTGCAGTGGTCCTGGGGACTGGGGGCACTGGAAGCACTGGCGTAGGGAACTGGGGACACAGCTGCACAACACTGTGAGCACTGGTGCCAGGCACTGGGAGCACTGGTGCTGGGGGCACTGGGAGCACTGGTGCAGGGGCTGCTGGGGCATGAAGCTCGTCCCTGGCTAGGGTAACCGGGAGCACTGGTGCAAGGAACTGGTGACACAGCTACAGGATAACGTGAGCACCGGTGGAGGGGGCACTGGGAGCACTGGTGCAGGGGGCACTGGGAGCACTGGTGCAAGGAACTGGTGACACAGCTACAGGATAACATGAGCACCGGTGGAGGGGGCACTGGGAGCACTGGTGGAGGGGGCACTGGGAGCACTGGTGCAAGGAACTGGTGACACAGCTACAGGATAACGTGAGCACCGGTGCAGGGGGCACTGGGAGCACTGGTGCAGGGGGCACTGGGAGCACTGGTGCAAGGAACTGGTGACACAGCTACAGGATAACGTGAGCACCGGTGCAGGGGGCACTGGGAGCACTGGTGCAGGGGGCACTGGGAGCACTGGTGCAAGGAACTGGTGACACAGCTACAGGATAACGTGAGCACCGGTGCAGGGGGCACTGGGAGCACTGGTGCAGGGGGCACTGGGAGCACTGGTGCAAGGAACTGGTGACACAGCTACAGGATAATGTGAGCACCAGTGGAGGGGGCACTGGGAGCACTGGTGCAGGGGGCACTGAGAGCACTGGTGCAAGGAACTGGTGACACAGCTACAGGATAACATGAGCACCGGTGCAGGGGGCACTGGGAGCACTGGTGCAGGGGGCACTGGGAGCACTGGTGCAGGGGGCACTGGGAGCACTGGTGCAAGGAACTGGTGACACAGCTACAGGATAATGTGAGCACCAGTGGAGGGGGCACTGGGAGCACTGGTGCAGGGGGCACTGGGAGCACTGGTGCAAGGAACTGGTGACACAGCTACAGGATAACGTGAGCACCGGTGGAGGGGGCACTGGGAGCACTGGTGCAGGGGCTGCTGGGGCACGAAGCTTGTCCCTAGCTGGGAGCACCGGTGCGGGGGGCACTGGAAGCGGAACAGAACCGCAGGGTACCAGTTGGAGACACTGGGGGGCACTGGGAAGCCGCAGGGCGCGCGTCCCCTTTAAGCACCGTGTCAACAACGCCCGCCCCACCCACCACAGCGCGTCGCCGCCGTCGTGACGTCACCCGCGCCGCAACGGGGGGGCGGGGCGGGGGGCGTGGGCGGGGCCCGGCGGGCGGCGCAGGCGCGGCGGGGGCCGTCGCGCGTGCGCGCGGTGGCGGGGAAAAGGGGCGGGCGGGGAGGGGTGAAGGGGGGGGGGGGTGGGGGGGGGGCGGGCGCGTGCCGGGGCCCGGCGGAGGCGGAGGGAGCGGAGCATGAATGGAGCAAAATGGCGGATCATGTGCAGGTGAGGGGGGGGGGGGGGAGGGGGGGGGGTGTTGTTGCTCCGCGCCCCGGGGCCGCGCTGTGGGGCCGGGAGGGACGCGCTTCCCTTCTCCGCCCGTTAACGGCTTCTCCTGCGGGAGTTCGGAGCGGGGGGGGGGGGGGGCCGCGGGTCGGGCTCGGCCCGTGAAGGGGAAGGGAGGCCGGGCCCTGTGAGGCCCGACCCGGCCGCGGTGGGCAGCGGGCTCGCAGGCCGCGGTGGGCGCTGTGGGTCTCCGTTTCTTTCTCCCCCCCCCTCTCCCGCCGCCGCTTCTCTGTCCTCTCCGCGGCGGCGGCCACGGCTCTTGGCTGCGTGTGGGCCGGGCGGCGCGGGGACTGGCATGGCGGGCGCGGGGGCGAGCGGCCTGGCTGGGCCGGCGGCGCGGCCCGCACCCCCCCCCCCCCCCCCCCCTCCCGCCTCATCCCCGGGCGGTGTTTGCCGGGCCCCGGCACCGATCACCGCCGGGAGGGCGGCTTCACCCGGGGGGAGAGCGGCTGCAGCCGCCGGTAGTTACCGGCCGAGCGGCCTTTGCCTCCTCCCGCCGCCGCTGTGGAGTTTTCTAGCAACGCCGGTCGCAAACATTTAGGGAAAGGAAAGTCGGATCCAACCCCCGCCACCACCCCCCTCAACCTTGGAAACGAACAGCCGGCTCCGCTCCAGCTCCCCCCGCTGCCAAAGCCCCGTTTTTCCCGGTGGCTTTGCGGGAGCCTGGCCCCTGCCGCCGCCGTCTCTCGCCCCAGCTTTAGGGTTTGCATCCTTGCTTTTCCCAGCCCTGTTTGTTTGATTTTTCCAGCTGAGAGGGAGACTCGGCGTTTAGGTAAACTGTTTTGATTGGTGTTAAAAACAAAACCCTGCGTGGATAAGCACGTTGGTCTTGTGGCCAGGAGCTGGGAGACAAATCAAAGGTGACAGTGGATTTAACCGAGTCAGGCTTGCGTGGGGAAGTGGAAAACCCTCTGAAGAGTCAGTGCTGCCACTGACAGAAAAAGTAAAAATAGGTACAGCTGGGGGAAACGGTGAGAGTTTTTTTGCATAATATTTTAGTTGAACTTGCACAGGATTTGCATGGTGTCCAAAAGACTGGCTAAACTGTAATGACACTGGTAGTTACATATTATCTATGCAACTTTTAAATAAATATATTCTTCACATGATACCCTTGTGAACCACAAGGGTGAGCAGTTTATTAACTCAGAATAGAGCTGTGCAGCTCTCAGGTTGTCTGGCAAGGTTGCTGGCAAATGTCTCTTGGGTAATCTCAGGGGAGGAGAGAAATTACTGCATTATTAAACAAGTCACAGGCTCTAAATTTACTGAAGAAACTCTGAATTCGTTTGCCATGAGCTGAGCTCTACCTTTAAAACCTAGCTGGCAAGCCTGCGGTTTGACACTGGAGGCAGGTGAAACAGCTGCTCTTGTTGCTTAAAAACTGTGTTTTGTACCCTGTTTTTCTTTGTTAAATATTGAATTGAGCAAATGGAAGTTTAAGCAGTAAGAACAGGGTTGCAATTTCTGTGTTAAACTTCGTTGGTTAAAGTTTAACGTCAGAGGCTTGGAAGATGTTCCACTCAGAGGAAAACTGATTTGCAAATACGGTTAAGGCATCTGCAGCTTGGTGCAGTTCCTATACAGGACAAATATAGCTAACAAAATTGTTATGTGCTGTAACTGGAGGGGCTTTGCTTGCTTGTTATTGTCTCGTTTATTCTCTCTGCTCCAGGGAAAGGCAGAGAGAAGGCGGTAGCTCTGAGGAGCTTTCCTTCAGAAAGTAGAGTGTGAGGTTCCCTTCAAAACTGATTGTGGATTTTTGTGGCTGGAGGAAGTAGTGTTTTTTATTAACAGATTACATTTTTGGTGAGAGGTCTTTCCATGGCCCGAAACACCAGTCTTCTGGACATAAGGTTTGAGCTGAGTTGCAGAGGCTCCCCCATCAAACATCATGTTCATTTAACAGAGCGGTTATTGAGTTATGCATCGTCGCGGGGAGATGTTGACTATCAGTGTGAATAATTGAGAGAGTTGGTTTTATGGCATATGCTGTGGGAGTTGGTCCTGTTTTAATGGGAACAGGGATTTGCAAATAAATACCGGCTGTCAAAAGCTGTGCAGAGTTTAGCAGGTTAGTAAAGTCTTGCTGCTGCTTCTTGAGAGCTTCGGGTTAGGTGTTACATGTTCACAGTGGAACTTCCCGGAGTTGTACCTGGGGTGCCAATACGTGATGAAGCACGAAAACATTATTTATAGACCACATCTGTGCTGAAGTTATTTACAGTCTGGAGCAACAGTAAGGATAAAGACAAACTTTTAGGGCCATAACGAAAGAGAATATAATGGTTTTGTCTTTAAAAAATAGACATTATGCAAATTGTGAGTGAGCCCACCAGTTTTGTTGGTGGGAATGGTGTAGTAGAATCATAGAGCTAGCTGTGGTGCTTTCATGTTGAGCAGCTCTTCAAGGGGAGACTGTTCAGCGTCTGGAAACAAAGGATGCAGTGATACTGATACAGGAGGAGAGAGAATCAGATGATTTTGTGTGGCTGAAAAGAAGCCCTGCGGTCTTAAAGCAAATTACTGTACGCCAACTTTTCCACTTCTCAAAAAGCTCATACAACCTTGTTTT